TCTGTCGACCAAGTGTTAACTGAGACGGCGCCGTGGTACTCACGTGTGTAACAATTCGACGTTTTCGATTGTGGACTTGGTTCTTTTTCCATCACTTATTGAGGGAAACACACTAGGTGGATATTAAAAATTTTACTGCCAACTCGTTTCGCCGCACACCGCTAACATCTTCATGTGCTCAACTCCTGATGATAGTAAATGTGTTTCCCACCGGTTTTCCTTCTTGTATTCAACGACGAAGGAGCAAAAGAGCCTCATGTCAGTTTTGTAAAATTGCCTAATTCTGCTAGCAACTTCGTTGGCCGCTGCGTCTTAAGCATGCAGTTTCACTCTTTGCGGTTTCTTTATGCTATTGACATGGTTTCTTCATGTTGACGTATGTTGAGGAAGAAGCTCATTTGGCATATGTATGAGACGGATAACATATCTTCGTCTGCAGGATGCCCAAAAATAGGTTTACAAGTTTGTACATTAGTTGAGTTCATATTTATTCTGGATTAATGACCTTTTATACTCTGTCTTGTTGGAGCAACGAGGAAAATACATTTGCTCTACAGCAAATGTGAGCATGTACAGAATTGTGAATCAGACCATCCATTGGCTTATAGGAGAGCTCATTTTCCGACTGACCGACGGCCGGTGGCGTCCCGCTTCTCAAACACTGTCAGGATTGCGTAATAATCAACCACCACAGCCTGGATGGCCGATGATTTCGAGGTTAACGACTTGCCGGCCTTCATGGCTACGGTAGCCGCTAAAAGGGAACATGCCCTACCGTACTTATCTTCGCCAAACAGTCCCTTACTTTGATCGTGGGAGAAGGATGTAAGGATGCTGCTCCGTAGTTTTTAAGAGGCGCTTTTGTTCTGCGCAGTTATACAGCAGGATCGATCGCCTATTTTTCTTTGGATGTCGACATTCGTTTTGGTTTTTCATTTCCTCATACGTCGTTACATACAGTTCTCGTTTCTCTGAACCCCTCTACTGTCTTGTTTTGCCCTGAACTACCGTATTGAATCACTTTATTGTGCTTGATGCAGTTTTTATCTGTTGATCGTTTGTTATTTGTTACTAAAATGTCCAGTCGGCGATTATGACCAGTCATTTTGCTGCATCGTGCTTTACCGCCTTTTATTTGGTAACAGCATTCTTGAGACCCGTCAGAACAGAAACAGTTGACTTGAATACTTTCAACATTAAGCCGTAAGCATTGTTTCATTTTATACATTATATTCGGCGTGCATAAAGATGATCATTTTTGCTGATAACAGCTGCAAGCTACTGATCTTCTACTGTTTGTGCATTTTGTCGGGAGAAACCCAACAGTTGGTGACGGCGAAGTTATGAGGTTTTGAGAGATTTTTTCTACCAAGTACGAGACCGCAGTAATTGCTGATCAATTTCAGTTACAGTTGACGGTATATCCGTCGTTACCGATTATGACGAAGGAAAGTCGAGCATTGTTGTTGGTGCGATGGACAAGCGATCGGTGTTTGTGCAACATTTGAGCAACTTTTGTCAAGGTATTTGGTCACAGGACAATGGCAGTCGTAAGATCGAGGATTCAACGTTTGGCTGGGGTCGAGGTTATTTTCATGTCCTGTTTTCAGGGTCATTATGCGCTTTGTACTGCAAATCCTCGTCGAGTAATGATCATTGCCTTATTTTACCACTAGCATATATATTCTGTTATCCTGGTGTGAAACCTCGTTAAAAGAGGACATCAGCAGTCTGCAGCCGTCATTCATCATGGAACGTCAAAAACAACTGGGGTGCATCAAGTCAGCGGATTTTTTCAGTAGTGCCAAAGTGATTAGCTGAACTATAATTCCCTTGCATCGTGTAGAAACGCCCATCGCTACACGAATAAGAATCCTCTTCGAAGGAGCACAGCATTTGCCGTAAGTCTCAGCGTACATAAAACATAAGACTACTCGGACTGACTACTGTTTTGACTGACTGACTGACTTGCTTATTTATTGAGCTAGGCACCGAGATATGAGCTCTATGAAAGAAGCTAAGTTGGTAGCCAATAAAATCTAGGTGGGTTTCTGGTGTACTGTTCAATTGTTGGAGTGGAAACCGGGTACAGTTGAGGCGTGCCAGAAGCCTACACGCAGATAGAATAAGATGGATATCGCTATCCGTTACTAGAAGAACTACTTATGTGACACATCCGGTGCCTTGTAGCACAAGTGTTGAATAGTTGTGGATATAGCGAGAATCACCGACCGAAAGTCTTGTTACTATAGGCGGGTTATATTTGCGGTCACAACAAACACAGCACACTTTCTTCGCGTTTGCTGTACTGTACAGTGCCTTTCTTTCACTGTTCTAATGTTGAAAAGTTCAGTGGTTGTTGTTGACGAATCGCTTGTTTAGGACGGCAGTATATGCAACCATATGACAGCCACATCGTATACTGTCATGTTTACTTCGTACGAAAAGCTCATTTTCCATGTGGAGTGGTCCATTCCGAATGCGACCCAGAAAGTTTTGATTAATTCTAAATCCGTCGCATTGCCGAATAAGGAAGCTCGACTTTCCATGAAACAGTTGAGCCACCAGTGATGTCGGTAAAGACCGAAGGAGGCTTAAAAACGACCCATTCCTCAACAGTTAGAAATTACTCCATCCTGGAATCAGGGGTAATGGAGTAAGACAGCAAAACCATCCAGATACTTGCATGAACGTGAAAGTCGATCATTGGCGCTTCGTATAAATCAGGTCGGTCGCCGGTTCTCAGCACAGACATAATAGTGGCAAAGAAGAATCAGGGGACAGCTAATTGCCCCGGTTGTTTCATAATGCCATCGAGTTAAAAAAACAACAGTGTGGCAAAAGAATTTGAGTGTTGTTCGAACAGCACCGGTTTGGTAATGCGGTTTTGTGTCTGTTCATTGCAGGTACTCAAGTACCGTGTAGCAGCGACCCATTTAAACGATCATCTAGGATTCTAGAAGCAACGTAACATTGCGTGTTGGTCGTATAACCGGTGTTACAGTTTTCTACGAGTCAATCGCTGAGACGGTATCAGTACAAAGCAGCTGTAGTCGCTTGTAAGTTATATATCGATATACAATAAAGAATTGTCAGATGACCGGCCGGTTGCGCGGGATCTGTTTTCATGGCTTTCAGCTTTGGATTCGGCGAGCTTCTCGCTCTTTCATTGCTCACATATCAGGTTGTTTTTGAGCGGCATATTTTTATTTTTTTCTTCAGTACAAAAAAAATATTCGTTGTTTGTAGGGCCACCGAACTTGCGCGGTCAATTGGTTGTGAAGTTGCGCGTCGCGTTATGTCCGCTCCGATTCACTGCAACACTTCTCAGACAGAGATCAAGCTGGAAAAGGTTTGCCACGAGTGGACAGTGAAGAACTTCAGCCACTGCTATCAAGAGTACCTGGAAACGTACGTGAAATTAAACAAAGGCGACGACATTTTGGTGTGGTCTGTCAAGATCTATCCGAGAGGAAATGGCGACAACAACAAGGATTTCGTTTTTTTGTGTCTGAATCGCCTGACACCGCAGAGCAACGGTAAATTTGGCAAGGTTGGCTTCAAAAGCCGCTTCATCATGCAAAACTCTGACCGCAAGGCAATCGACGTCCGGGTGCATCCAAATCCGAGCCACTCTGACTACGTCTCGTACATCAAAAGAGATGTACTGTTTCCGCAGATTTTGCCGCAGGACCGGATCATAGTGACCGTGGAGATCGACGTCGCCGTCGAAACGGTCACCACCACCAGCGAAGACTCTGCAGTCGTAAGTCGAT